CGGCGGTGGTGGTGGTGGTGTTGGGAGGAGGAATGATAAGACTAAGACTAATGCAAGTCGATGCACTCAACGTGATCCCCGACATCCGAGCTCTAGATTACTGAGCTATAAGGCCCTCAGTTTAAAATGCACATGATGACCCCTACAAGCCCCCGTCGACATTCAGGAAACCATGCCCAAATCAGTTTTCCCCGTGGTACTGTAAAGGCCCCAAAACTACTTATGAGCAGGGTCCCTTAACAACAATAAGGGAAATTGCTAATTATCAAAAAACGCAACCTAGATTTTGTGGTCCCTACAATCCCTGAACCCTAAACCCGAAATAGTAGGTTCCATTGTATTTTCCATTATCCAAATATAAACCCCTATATAACCCCCATAACCCGCCTTGCGGCAGCAAGGGCCCACTTGCTTTCGCTGCTCTTGCTGGCATCTGCCAGTCCCTTGATCTTCTGCGGCAGTTGCCTCCCAAAGGTCTAAGACTTGGGGTTTTGGGATTTGGGGTTTGAGGACTTGGGGTTTCAGGGTTTGGGGTTTAGGATTTGGAGCTTAGGTTGTAGGGTTTGGGGCTGAGGAGTTGGTGTTTAGGGTGAGGATTAGGATTTGGGGCTTATGGTTGAGTGATCAGGTTTTTGCAGGCTGGTCTTGCCCTAGCTGTTCCGGCCCTTGCAAAACGTACCTCGCACCTCCGTACGACATGTAGGCACCCTAAACCCCTAAACCTCTCCCCCCCAAACCCCAGACCCTATTTAATCAAGCCACAGGCCTGAGTTTAATGGCTTGGAATGTCCAGAGGTCTGGGAAGGAGTTCAGCCGCTTGGCAGCTGTTTGTTGCCTACTGAAAATCCGATTCCAAGACTCTTCATACCAAAAAGGCAGCGCTGAGATTTAAAATCTGCAAGCAAGCATCAAATGATCACCAAAACTGACATGCAACCTCATCCAGGCCCACTTTAAGAGATCGTAGTCTGCATGCACCGGGCCTTTTGGGTCCCATGACCATTTGAGATATAATCTACACTCCTAGTATCCCCCTTAATAAACCCTGCAGTAGTCTCCTTCCCCTTTAAGACCCCCACTAAGGAGTTTAACCCCTAAACCCTGAACCCTATATAACCCCCTTCAAGGAGTGTAGACTACAGATCATTTGAGACAGCGTATGTTTCAGGAGTCAAGGCTTGAGCAGCCTAGCGCAAAGAGGCATCCCTAAACCCTAAACCCGAAGCCCCTATTGATCGAGGGGTTTAGGGTTTAGGGTTTAGGCCCTACGCCTTGCCAGGACTCCGCAAAGGGAACCCCCCCAAACCCTACATATCCCTCGCCCTAAATAGCCTCTACCCCCCCTATACCCCGAAACTGGCCTGTCTTCTTGGGCAGCTTGCCGCGCCAGTGCTAGCAGCAGGGGAAGCCATCGGCTCGCTCTTCCTGACGTTTGAGTAGGGTTTAGGGTTAAGGGGTGTAGGGTGTAGGATTTAGGGTTTAGGGTTGTAGGGTTTAGGGTTTAGGGTTCTGCATCTCGAGTCCAAGCATTCTCTTGTTAAGAAGCGTTATCCAACAAACAGAAAAATACCCACCCGCCCATGGGGACCCTAATTCCCTACCTTGCTCCGGCACCATGGCCCAACAGCCCGCAAGGGCTGAAGCCAGGGAGTCCATTTCCCGGGCAGTGGTGGAGCTTACCTTGCCTCCTCGCAGATGTCAGGAAAATTGGAGGTTTAGGGTGTTTAGGGTTTAAGGGGAGGGGTTAGGGATTAGGGTTTAGGTTTAAACTTCTGGATAGATACTTTGAGCCTGAATTCTATGCAGTTTTTCCCAAGCATGTCTGAAAATGGGAGGTAATTTTAGGGTTTCCTATATGGATACTTCGGACCTAAATTCGATGACCATGCTGGACACACATTCTGTACTACTTCCTAAATACGTAGACATACTTGGGATCCAACTTCTGTGCTATTTCCTGACTATGTAATATCTACTTGGGACCCAAATTCAACACTACTTGGGTAGTTCGACCGGTTTGGGGAAGTTCATGGAGCTTGCATAATACAGAAAATCCACTTTTTTCCATTATTCCCTATGTAACACCAATAAATTATAGTACATGGGGATTACGACCCTAAACCCTAAACGCTAAACCCTAAACCGCGTCAAGGCTGAGGAGTAATTCTCAGGTTGCTGATGCAAAGGACGGGCACAAAAGCGCGACGGTGGTAGGCTTTTTAAAGCTAAAGGGCTTTTACGTCTGCATGAAGCACTGGTCTGGTAGGGTTAGGGTTTAAGGCTTGGAGTTTGGGTCTAAGGTTTAGGGTGGTTCGGGCTGAGTTGTTGTCTGAGTTTCTTTTTTGGGTGTGGTAGGTTGTGGGCGCTTGCAGGTGCCAATTGAAACTCTAAAGCAGCCTAAACTCAGAACCTGCAGAGCGGATCCGTAACCCTAAACCCTAAACCTCTCCCATTAATGAAACATGAGCTGAAGGTTTGCTCTGACCTTCAGGGATAATGGAAAATAGAATGGAAACTACTATAGTATGTTGGGGTTCTATCGCCTTCTTCCTACAGACTTAAACTGCTGCAGCCAAATCCCTGTCACAATTGCTCATCCCGTCCCTTGGCAAGATCTCCCCACATTGCGATTTGGGTTGATGTTGTGCAACGGATTGCAACGGCACTCACAGTGTGCACTGGTAGATGAGAGGTGATCCCTGGACATCGTCTAGGTTTAGGCTTTCGGGTTTAGGGTTTAAGGTTTAGGGTTTTTAGGGTTTTTAGGGTTAGGGTTTAGGGTTCAGGGTTTTGAGATTCAGGGTTTAGGGGTTTTTGAGTTAGGGTCTAATGGGGCACCCCAGAATGGACCCCCATATACTATAATTAACTCTCATCATGGGGGCCCGCAAAAAGGTACCTGCATTTTTTGGGAGCCCCCCATCCCAACACGATTCTATACATCGCCATAATACAACCCAATACATCCCTGTACAATCCCGCCCCTCAAAGGGGCCAACCATTTCTATTTCCAACTTTTTGGGAAAAGTCCACATTGAAACCCTAAACCCTCAACCCTAAACCTTAGACCCTAGACACTAAATGCTCCACCAGAGCCTGCGGCTGCCACCAGTGGTACGGCGACTACCTGCGAACAGCTTGACATGCATAGTAGTAATTACCACTCTTATTGTGATGATGATGGTGATGATGATGATGATGGTTATCATTATTACAGTATACCAAAAAAGGAGAAGAATAACAGTAGTAGTAACAATAAAAATATTAGAATATTAATAACAACAATAGTAGTAAAAATCAAGTGAGCAGGGGTTTACACGTGGACGACCTGCGATCTACGGTCCTGCTCGCCCGCCTTTCCAGAGTAGACTGTTAGACTGCAGGGATGTGGGAGCAAAAGGTGTGGGGCCTCTCAACTTTTCAAATTCATGTGAGCTATAGTCTATAGGGGATTATGCGGGGGACCACTATAAGGGTCATTAAGGGGGCTACTAGGAGTTCAGACTACAGCTCATGTCATTTTGGTATGCACGCCTCCAGCTGCGGCACGCTCTTCTCCCTCCGCCGATCGTTGACGGCTGCGCCCCCAGCTTCGGTCTCGGCCTCTGAAGCCAAGCAGACCAAACACACATGGATCCCTGTCAAGGGGTTGTAGGGGCTATATAGGGATATATACGATGACATAGGGATATATAGGCATGTACAGAATTATACGGGGATATTAAAATAAGATAAATATACATATACATATATATATGTATATATATGTACTTATGGATGGGGGGCATTCTTAGGCTGGGTCCCCACCACTAATCTTGACCACCAGCGGAGAGTGGTAATGATATCAATGATCCTTATATATCACTATGGCACCTGCTACCGGGTGGCCGCCTAAGCCAATACATCCCCATGATAACGCTTTGTCGTGATCACTAATGCTGCTCTTATTGGCAATAATACCAACGTCTTTTGACCTCACCTTAACAGGAAAATCTTACCTGGAAATCCTGGTTGCCTATAATTGAAATCATGTCCATTGCCAAATTCCAACAACAGTCTGCCATCTGTTTTGTCAGATGCATCTCCAAGTCTCACCTTGAACGTTACAATGACTTTACGAACCATTCCGGGACATGTAACTACTGCTTGAAATCTCGAACCTTGATTGAAACCACGCTTCTAGCTTTTGACTGGCTGAGCCAGCAACATTACCAGTGAGCTGTAAACCAATCGCACAAATTGAAGTCATATGAGCCATTGTCCAATCTCCTAGTATCTCCTTTAATATCCCCTACAGTAGTCCCTATATGATCCCCTATAAAAACCCCCTTTAAGGAGTTCAGACTATGGCTCATATTGCCTATCAGTGCCCTGCACATTGAACAGCGCAGCGGTGCGGGCCCGGGCCCTTAATCCCCATCCCCTATGGATACTCGCCCTGACCCCTCATAGCGAATACATACCCAAGATGATGCCATTATCTTGGGGGGGTATCAGGTGCTAGGGGAATCTTCATTAGGGAAGGGGGATTGATGATGATGATGATGATGATGATTGTGATGATGACAATGATGGCTGCAACAGCGGAATGAACCTCTGCAATCTACCTACAGACATATCCGCTTTGCATTCGCAAAAGCCGGCTACAAGGACAACACAGGTTTGGTTACAAAGGCTTGATATACGGCCAGCGGCCTTTGTCCATTTTCTTTTTCATCTGGTAATCCATTATTCTGTTACATGGGTCCTTACTCTTTATAGACCTCTATACCTCTATACATCTCCATATGAGGAATTGACTAAACTCCTAGTATCCCCCTTAATATCCCCTATAGTAGTCCCCTATATAATCCCCTATATAGCCCCCTTTAAGGAGTTTAGACTACAGCTCATATAGCACTGCATGTCCTACATGATTTGGGGCTCCGGCCGACACCACCAGAGCCCCCATCTCAGGCCATAGGGCTGGGCCAAAAGCGTCATGGAGCTCCTTTCCAACACTCTAAGGCTTAGGGTTGAGGGCTCGGGGTTTAGGATTTGGGGTTCCGTTTGCACGGATTTCAAGGGATACATATATATGTATATATATATATACCTATATACATATAATTTTCTTATCCCTATGCTAATGGAGAATCAAACGCAACATGAGATGGAAAGTAGGATTATGTGGAGCTCCGTCAACGGATCAACGTGTGTATTCGTCCCCTCACTCTTTCCTATTCTGCCTTAAGCACTAGTAAGACTATTGCCGCGGAAAAAGATGGAGTCTTCCTTGCGTGGCCCGAGCAATGCCAGATCGCCATACGGAGGTTTCCCAAAATTATGGGTACCTTTTTAGGGATCCCCATGATAAGGACTTTAGTATTTTGGGGTCTATATTGGGGTCCCCCTATTTAGGGAAACTACCATACTTACTTCTGTGGCAGAAAGGGTCGCGAAAAAGACGATTTCTGTTAACAGTACAAGCAGCTCTAGCAGTCAGACACTATCAGGGAGGGCCCTGCCCAGTGTGAACGAGGCTGGCATCAATGAGTGCAAGTGCTAGTTGTTGTACCAAGAGTCGATGATTGCGGGGGCTTGCTCAGGCGCTGAGCCCGCCATGTTACGTCCAGCGTGTTCTGGATGCAGAAGACAGCATTGTGAAGTTCATAACGCACTTGAAGCTGGAAAATGCATGAGGCATGCGCATTTGCGGCTATCCTGTAAGGCAGAATGTACTGCATATGCTCATCACGACCTTTTGTCTGTGTTGCGATTGCCCTATGATGCAGCGGCAGATGCTCTCTTTCTGATTTACTTAGGTTTCCGTTCAGAAGGCCTCCAAGCGAACTTGCAGGCTCGGTCGGAAGATAGCCAGGAAGTCCTCGCATGCACCACATCTGCATAACCTTTGCATGCTGTCTCGTAAATTCCAGCGCCCTGTCCACAATCCTAAAGCCTCATGAACCCAGAAAATTTGTGGACACCCGGCTGTTGCGTTCAAGGCTTTGAAGCCTCTCCCCACTCACACCCTTAGCCGTCCGCCACGGTCGTTGCACGCTCTCCCCAGTCTTGAAGGAGGGATGCGCCTGCCTTGTGTGATGCTCCCAACATTCTTCCCAGCTCGGCTGCCGTATCTACTCATTGGCTGGTTATTCGCAAGTCAGAAGTCAGAAGTACTGCTATGGCTACCATCATAATCCACTGAAGTCCCTGTTCCTGCCGTCACTACTCTATTTCGCGCCATGCGCTACAGCCAAAGCAACTAGGAAAAAAGGAGCAGGGGAAATGCCTGGGGAATTAGCTGCAAGGAGCTCTTTGCTGTACATGGGAAACTACTATAGTATATTGGATGGTAATAGCTTGCATGAGCCTTGTCCTTTGACCATTCTTCCAGTATTTTGCCTCCACATACAGCGCAGCATACTCCAGTCCCTTTGTAATTCCTATCCAATTCCCCCAAATCTTATACATATAGCTTCTTGTAAAGGAAAGCATTTTACTGGAGGGGGGGAAGGTATTATTAGGTAGGGGTGTACAATGTCAAGGGAAAGGGATTACATCGGCGCCAAAACGGACCGAGCTTTTGGAAAGCTTGGTCTACCATCTATGGCTATCCGAAAAGAATTCACACGATGCCCTAGATACATGTACTTTGTATTCTCCCATTCCCGACGAAGCTTGAGGAAGTGTGATGCCTTTTCACGAAGCAGCGGCGGTCCCGAGATGCCGATAGCCAATCCTGCTGGGACAGCCATCCTACTTCTGCGTTCTGTGACTAATGTGGAGCCTCTCAGGATAGGGTGCCCTTCGAGAAGTCAGGGGTGTATGGGAATTGTAGAAGGATTCTCGGGGTCCCCGTTAAGGATCCCCCACAACGCGACTTTCGAGAGACGTGTGCGTGAACTGGGGTAAGGAGGCAAGGCTGCAAGGACAAGTAATCATAAAACCTAATCGCAAACCCTACACCAAGGTTTAGGATTTAGCCTAAACCCTAAACCCTGAAATCTAAACCAGGGTTTGGAATTGAGGGTAGAAGTGAGGTGTGGGCAAGATCCAGCACCTGATGGCCAGTTTACCAAAAATGCAGAACACTAAGGAGATGCACTCTGAAGTCCCAAGATCCTCGGGGCTCTCAGTCTGTAAGTAATTCCTACATTGGGCAGTAAAGTCCATGAATATTACCTACATTGGGCAGTAAAGTCAAAAATCATATCTACAGATGTTACCTACATTGGGCCATTTGGAGCCTTAGGGGCTGGAAACCAGTGCAGACTTTTGGCTCCGCTGATCTCTAAGTATGGCCTACTTCAGAACTGGCAAGCTTCCCCAGCAGTTGCAGTCCAGCTAAGCCCTAAACCCTGAACCAGACTCTTCGGAATTCTCAAAAAATTTGGCTACTTTTAGGGAACCCAGGGACATACCCAGACCCCCCCGAGGGATCTAAAAAATAGATCCTCCAGAAGACCATGGAGGTTTATATCAGGATTATATACGGGTTATCATGGCTTTATATCATTGATCCATTTTTTAGATCCTCCCAGGGGTCTGGGTATGGCAATTTCCATAAAGATGGGGACCCCAACATAAGCCCTAAAATCCTATTCTATAGTCCTTATTATGGGGACCCCTAAAGAGATGCCCCTAATTTTGGGAAACCCCCATATGTTTGGGAAACCCCCATATGGGTTTTATCAGAAGATGCGGACAGATCCTTACCTAGAGGAGGGATGTCGAGAAACTTCTCTGGGTAGACAAGGAAACGTGAGCCCTGCAAATTGCATTTTTGAGGACATAGCTTACATAAGAGCCTTCCACTAGACTCTAAGCCCCACGACCCCTACTAACGAACCTTCCCCTGATAGACGTGTGCCGGCAGTATATCGGGACTCTTGAAATGCCCTGGACCGTAAACCGGTTTCAGGGTTTAGGGTACGTTCACCATAATATACTATAATATACTATAATAGCAACGTGTTCTTGAGTTGGGAGGAGACCCATGAGCCACACCTTCAGAACTGGTCCCGAGGATGTAGCCTACCGTTGGCGGATAACATCCTGCAGGGCCCTGGCTTAGGGTGGGTTAAATTTTAAGGATTTTTGGGGGGCTTAGGGTTCAGGGGTTTGGCCGGTAGTCCTGAAAGCCTGACCCATAAAAACCCTGCAGAGATTGATGGGCAAAGGGCTTCACCCCCCGCTCTCTGCTACCTCGTTGAGCCATGGCGGCGGCCACGGTTAGCAGAACCTGACCATTGCATCATCGGACTTAAAATGAGCCATAGTCTAAACTCTTCGTATCCCCCTTAATATCCCTATAGTATCCTATAGTAGTCCCCTATATAATCCCCGGCCCCTACATAAGCTCTTTATAGGAGTTTAGACTATGGTTCAAATCAAAACTCCACAATATCCAGAAACTGATTTTCAGGGCGCCCCAATACAGGATTCCAGCGCGCATGGCTGGAATATGCGCTCGGTGGGAATTCCATACATGCATGATCATGACAGTTGTATGTCCAAGCGAAGTTATGTTGCATTCACAATCCTTCTGAAGCAGCAGTTCCACTGCAAAGTCCTTTTCAAGTAGCAGTAGGAAATGCGCGGCACTGCAACGGACAGAAGATTGAGGCTGAAGGCAAAGCTCACCCGCCCCCCAGCCCCTATTTCTTGTGCCGCGAAGTGCTTGCATTCAATGCGGGCATCATCACGTGGCACAGCCCGATAGACATTCGATAACTTGATTAACGTGAACTTACAGACTAAGAAGGCAAATAGCAGAGCTTACATGTCTGAAAAGGAGCTGAATTGGGTCAACAAGAAATGACGTCAGCAAGAGAGGGGTACCTCGTGCGAAAATGAGCAAGTTTTTCTATGGAGGTTGACTACACGCATCTCTTGCTCATGAAAGTTTTGTTAGGGACTTGCGGGCAGAGTGAGACAGGAGTTGAAAAAGAACCTTCATACAGTAAGTTGCACAAGACTTGCAAGAAAGTTGAGATCAGGGTGTGTCAGGACAGCTCCGAAAACAAACATTTATCTAACACAACTTGAGTAGGAATGACAACTTAACTCCCTTGAAGCTACTTGACTTCGTAGAAAATTCCTTGAGAAACGCTGAAAATCAAACCGACTCTCCCTACTTCATGCTGACTTCACGTCGAGCTAGACTGGACGGTAGTTTGGAGCCCACCCCGCGATGATGAAAGACAAACGCTTGAGTGGCGGATCGGGTTCGGGACTTGTGTGATTAGAGTACAGCTTGTGGCAAATTCTGGTAGACGTGCATATAAAGTTTACAAATTCAGAAGATTGGAAAGCAGCCAGGCTTCTAGAGCCGCGTCGTTGGCATACTGGCTGACTGGTAAAGCATGGCGATGTAGTCATAGTGACAATGAAATCATGACCTGCCATGGGGTCAACGTTGTACCTTGTGCCCTTCGTGCAGCCGATCGAAGGTGCCACCCAGGACAACATGATCCTCAGTTCAGTCCAGCATGACTTTAGCAGTTTGAGGTGCCCAGTCCATTGCATGATTTACCTAAGCACTGCCTCCAGCCACTTCGCGGTAACTTCCACTATGAAACATCTGGAGATCCAACAATGCCGATTACGAACCCGACAAGAAGCTGCAACGAAGGCGCGTATTTCTGGCCTTGGAAGCTGCAAGCAGTGCCACGCTGAAAGCCTGCCAGTAGGAAACTGCTAGTGTAGACCCGTGAATAATAACCCCCCCTCCCTTTGAGGGCCTTACGTATTATAACCGCTATTAAGGGGAAATATGAATCACGGGTCTACATTGGCAGGCACCTTCAGGCACCCTTGCGGGCTTGGCATGCCGGATCCATCGGCTACGTTGCACACTTCCCTTAAATCCTGGCACTTTGAAAAAGGTTCCCAAATCAGTTCCACCTTCAAAGAGGTTGGACGAATGCCCCTGCAAGCTAGTGTCTACAATACTCCCCGATATAATCC